CTTTATGCTCTCTTTTGCGGAACTGCCTGTTTAAAAGTGTTCAAGACTTGCCTGCTTTAGAGATTGAAGGGAGCAAATGATCACAAGGGGTAAATCCTGAAACTTTATTTCCTTGGAAAGGTCATTTGGAGCAGCACAGTGTTTCCAGCCAGATCATGTCTGGACTTGTTCTACTGAGTATAGAAAAAAAACCAAACCCAAACCCACCCCGTAACCAGGCTGGCTTTTATACATGGTTAACAAATCTATTTGTGAACAAGCCCTACTGTGATAAGCTCTACTAGGCAAAAGCACCTCGACAGGGAAGCCGAGCATACTTCCGCCCTTTGCCTTCGGAATCACTCTCTTGTGGAATTCCACAAGTTAGGTTAGCAGGAAAGTAGAAGATGCTGCATGCTGCAAGTGTGGTGGGAGGTACCACTAACGTGTGAGGCTGCAGCAGGTGGAGCTCTCTCCGTGCCCATGCAGAACCAGGGAGCGCAGGAACTAGTAGCTGTGTCTTGCTGGACTGCCTCGAAACTTGCCAGCCCAGGTGTTACCCCAATGGATTTGCTTATCTGATGTAACTGACGATGATGCGGTGTGATAGGCAAAACATTGCTTCTCAAGAAAAAAATATCTTTTCTCTGAGCAAGTAAAAACTTGCAAAGCTCTGTAAAGGACCAGATTTCTACCTGGGGAATGTAAAATTACGTCCTAAGAAGTCTGGGCTCTGAAAGATTTCATAGTATTCTTTGTAATGATGTAACAGCAGTGTTTCACATCCAGTTTGGGAAAGAACTCTGCTTTGGGGATAGAGTTCTGCTCTGCTTCCCTTTGGGAAGGAGCTCTGACAGTCCAACCAGAGTTTCACAGTTGCTGCGGTGTGCTGACTGACAAGTCGGATGAAATAATCTCTGTCGCTGCCTCTGCACTGTGCTGATGTTTTGGAAAATGCAGTGGCAGAGCTGCTCTCAGTAAACCCGCTGTCCCTAGAAAAGCGGTATGGTCTGGTTTGGGAAAGGCTGAGTTGGAAACTGGAGAACATACAGTTCACAGTATAAACTAAACCCGTGTCCATTTCTCAGGCATCTGTTTAATTTTTTTGTTTGTATTGCCTGTTAATTTGAAGGCTTTATCTTATTAATTTCTTCTGGGCCTACCATTCTGCAAACCTTCGAGCAACTTGTGGGGCACTTGTCTCTATAGTGTTGGTCATTAAGTTTCTCTCAGATGACTTGATAGGAAGTCTAATTAGTCCTTGTGTGACTAATCTCTGCATGAACTGACTAGCCTGGGGTGCCGCTTATGTCTGAGACCTCTGCAGCTACAGGAAAATGAAGACATGTATTCAGCTAAGTGTAGTGGCCAAACCACACCCTGTGCTGCAGGAGGAGGTGAAAAAAACCACAGGACCAGACCCCAGAGAAAATTATTCTTGACCTCAAACCTGACAGTCAATCGGTTCCAAGAATAAGAGCAAGAGGGTTTTTAAGTATATTCTCTGTATTCTTTGAAACCACCAGTCACACCCCTGCATGGGCAGCTCTAGTCAGTCTGACACTTCCAGCTCAGACAGAGAGAGCGAGCACTTTCTAGATACTGGAATAAATTATGTGTCTTGAGCCATGTAGACAAATTGTTGACCCCTGAAGAACCCACCAGCCATAAGGGTGACACAGACAGAGTAAATGATTCTTTTCTCCTCCCTCTCATGAAGGATTGAGAAGAAATGCAAGGACTAACACATTTTTCAAATGACTCTCCAGCTGTATGCCTTGCAAACAGAAGCCGTAGGGGAAAAAAAAAGCTGTATTAAAGCATATCTTTTCCTACTAAATGGTGATCCACAGTGTCTGGGTGTCTTCTGTGTCCGATCTCCAAAACACTCAGGCAAACAAGTATTGTCCAGTAAGTGCATTGTGTGCTTGCTTGACTGTGGCATGGGTCACGTTTGGTGGGGTTTTACTGCTTTTTGAGCCCTGTTAACACTGGTCAGCTTTGAGGAATTACCGAGTCTCCTGTAGGGAATTAAATCACAAAAACCAGGATAGCTTGGTTTTACACGTTTGCCTCTGTGAGGGTTAAGCACCTCGGTTTGAAATGAATACATGGCTTATAAATAGATTCCTCTTTCACAAAATGCAAAACAGTCTCTGTGTTGCAGGACAGCGGGAACCAAAAACAAGCCCCGGCATGAATGAGCACTAGGACTGTGTGGCTGATACTGCCGTTAGGGGTTACCGAGATGGACACACTGAAGCTTTCAGGTGAAAGGATGCGAAGGTTTGAACTGCAGTGTATCTCAAACTTATTAAGAGAAATACTGCATTTGTACAAAAAGTCCTTTTGTAGACTGTTTCTGGCATTTAGTAGTGTCCCAATAAGTGATCTGATAGTCTGCAGTATAATCCTTACCTATAGCACATTCCAGAGCGTTCAATGTAATATTCACTGGATAAGCGGGCCAAGGTCACTGTATGAGGTTCAACAAGACCAAGTGCCTGGTCCTGCACTTGGGTCACAACACAACTCTCTGCAACGCTACAGGCGTTGGGACGAGGAGCTGGAAAGCTGCCCAGCAGAAAAGGACCTGGGGGTGTTGGTGGACACCGGCTGAGTATGAGCCAGCAGTGTGCCCAGGTGGGCAAGAAGGCCAGTGGCATCCTGGCCTGCATCAGGAACAGTGTGGCCAGCAGGACCAGGGCCAAGGATTGTCCGCCTGTACTGGGCACTGGTGAGGCTGCACCTTGAATCCTGGGGTCAGTTTTGGGCCCCTCACTGCAAGGAAGACACTGAGGTGCTGGAGTGTGTCCAGAGAAGGGCAACGGAGCTGGGGAAGGGTCTGGAGCACAAGTCCCGTGAGGAGCAGCTGAGGGAGCTGGGGGTGTTCAGCCTGGAGAAGAGGAGGCTGAGGGGAGACCTTATCGCTCTCTACAGCTCCCTGAAAGGAAGGTGCAGAGAGGTGGGGGTTGGTCTCTTCTCCCAAGTGACAGGACAAGCTGTGGGACAAGAGGAAATGGCCTCCAGTTGCGCTAGGGGAGGTTTATATTGGATATTAGGGAAAATTTCTTCCCAGAAAGGGCTGTCAGGCATTGGAAGGGGCTGCCCAGGGAGGTGGTGGAGTCACCATCCCTGGAGGGATTTAAGAGACGTGTGGATGTGGTGCTCAGGGACATGGGGTAGTGGTGGGCTTGGCAGTGCTGGGTTAACGGTTGGACTTGATGATCTTAATGGTCTTTTCCAACCTAACCAATTCTGTGATTATCATGCTATAAATAAGGCTGGGCAAGTCTTGAAGCAAAATGATCAGATCCCTGGAGCCTACACTGTAATTTGTTATAGACCTGTTTTGGTCCACAGAGAAAAGGGGGAGGTGAGAACCAAAGGGTGACAGCAGTGTGATAGTGCTGTGACTCAGTTCAAAATGTCACAGTACCTGTTAGTGCTGCAGCTTGATGAGGGACTGCTAAAAGCATTTTTGCAGCAATCCTGAACTGCTGCTGGCTTTGCTGGCCAAATACTTGCCCTGGTTACTCTGCTCAGCAGCCTGTGCTGAGCTTGGTGCTGCAGCAGCAGCTGTGTCATTATCAGTATCAAAGTTAGCTGCTTTGAAGCTAGATACTGAGATGAGCTGTAAGCACACCTTTGATCGTCATGTAGATGTAGTCATAATGAATCTTATTTTCTGGTCATAGATGTGCTAATAGTAGGTTTTTTAAGGAAGGCATATTATTTGCATCAGAGGATGCTGGAGACTTGGCAGAGTGTAGAAAGCATTTTGTGTTCCTTCTGGGAATCCAGCAAAGCACAAAAAAATGTGCGCTGAGTTTATGTAAATGAGTAGTTCTGCAGCTTCCCATGAGACCACTTGAAAATTTACCTGAATTAAGGCATAGTAGTTAATACCTTGCAGGATTGAGCAAGTAGCAACATATGCAAATATCAGTTATGCTTATCAACGGAATATGCAAAGCAGGTATCAAGGATGATGATATTTTACCATTCTCTGACTGTTTCGGTGTGACCACCACTGTTGATGGCAACAGGAGCATGGAGTTCTCAAACGAAAAAAAAACTGGCAGAGGGTTTTTTATGGAGAACTTCTGAAATGAGTCTCTTGCCCCCACTGTCTTGTCTCCCAGCTGCTCCTCTGTTACGATATTCCTCATTTGTCAGATGTTGATTAGTAACTGAAGCATGTGCAGAGAGGATGGCAGTGGAAGCTGTCGTCGCCTTTGGTGTTGTCTTTCCCAGTGTGTGTGTGTTGGCAGACCTGCCGTTTAAATGGGCATAGGAGGGTGAAGTTACCCCCTCTGTATTACGGCTGTCATTTGTAATCCTTATTTGCTAGTCGGTTTTGTTTCAGGTACAATGATTTATATATCCCACTCTGAAACATGTGTTCTGAGGTTCAGATGAATTTGCTTAGGAGTTACACAGGTGCAAAATAAAAATTAAAAAAAATCAGTATACTTTAGGAGGGGAAAAAGTACTTCTAGGTCCTTGGCTTTTGGTAACTCAGAAATTACTAGACTGCTAGTCTTGCCAGGTAAAGGGAGTTGTTTTCTGGAGGAATGGAAAAACAGGTGATTATTAGATTAAGTAGGAGTATTTTTTGAGCACTTTGGGGGGAAGGGGTGTCTGTTTTGTGGTGTAATGATTTTGGTGGGTGTTTATTGTGTGAGCTCTGTCAGATCAACTAACATTAGCAGCACATAGCTGGAGCTTTATCTTTACAATATGCTATTGCTAAAGAGACCTCTGTCAGGATAGAATTCCCATTGCACTGTGCACAAATAAGAAGGTTCCAGTGCATGATCTCACTTAGTTATAGGAAAGCAACTTGCACATATCTGCTGCCATGCAGGGAAAAAACCCACCTGAGAGCACGGAGGCATTCTCTCATTTGGAAAACACCTCTGGTATAGCACTTCTGATTGCAAAAGTTGACTGGCAAAAGGACAACAGCAGCAAGCAGAGGTGGCAAATCTCTCATCAGCTATATTTCCCTTTTGCAGCGGATGAGGAACACCATCAAAATGTGGCAGCGGCAGCGGTGGCCAGGCCTCGGCCCCAAGCTGAAGAGCGGGGAGATAGGATGCCAAGGCGCCGGAGGAACATGGGAAACCGGATGATGGCCCAGAGGAGAGCACAGCAGGCGGAAGACTGGCTGGAAGGTAACATTTGGCTCAGTTTATCTTGCAAACATTGAAAGAGACCTTAACAGCAGACGTTAAAGTTGGTGAAGGGGTGCAGCTGGCGCCTGAAGAAAGTTTTTCGGTTTTGCTGATTGTGAATTATTTACAGCTTGACTATAATCTGTTTGACTGTCCAACTATCTTGTACTGCATCACTTATCTCTAGATATTGGCTAACTGAAGTGTCTCCCTCCATCTATGGTGGATTCTGGCAGTTTGTTGTGCCAACGGTGCTTCGCAACATATTCTTCACTTACTTCCTAGAAACTGCCTTTTCTATTTCCTGCTTAGCCAGGAAATCCACACCTTGCACTAGAATAGCAAGCTGTACTAAAGTGCTGGTTTCTTACCAATTGGTGGGAAGCATTAATTCCCCAATGTAATCTCTACAGAATCTGGAGTTTTCTTTCCAAGAAGCCATCCCAGTGGTGATCAGAATCAAGCTGGTTAGCTGGAGAATCACCACAGACTGCAGCATTTTGCCTTACTGCCTGCAGAGTGTTGATGATGAGTCCTCTGTTCCTGTGCTGGATCTACAGTTAATAGCTGTACTTCTGTGGTGTGGTGGTTGAGAGGAATACAGTGATAAATAACATCTGTCTACACCCTTTAAGCCTCGCTCCCTTTTCTGGTGAAACTTCACATGTTATTATCTTTATTGCTAAAGAGACTGTATCACCATGACTCACCTAACTGGATTCCTCCTACTTTCAGATTGTGGGTTAAGTATTCAGGGTTTCTGCTCAAGTATTGATAGAAGTGGGCTTTGCCTCACTTGAGTTTGCAGTGAAGATCAGGGTGTCTTTTTGGTCTGCAGCAGGTGAGAAACAGTGAGTACACTGTTTAGATTAGGGACTGGTTGCGCATTCTTCAGCTTTTCTTGTCTTGCAGTTTGTAGAAAGAGTCTCATGCTCACGTTGGCAGGTAAACCTGCTTTTCAAGCTAATGATGTTCAGCAGTTTCACAAGGGGAAAATTGACAGGTCTGAACTTTTCAACTTTGGTTATTTCTTTTCATGTGATAACATCCTGGGAAGAAAATGGAATCTAAAAATCTTTCGCCTTAAACTCCAGACATCAAAAGTTTGAATGTTGAAGGCCAACAGTGAAGCTGTCAAAGCTTCTTACTTTATCACTTGAGCAATAGAAGAATCTGTGTCTTTGGGCTTTATAAATAATTCTTTTGCAGCTTACTGTATATCAGATGCAAGTGCTGCGGCTCTTGCATGGTTTTCTTTGAACTGACAGCCCTGGTTTACTGTTTCTTTTTTTCATTTCTTTTTCAAATTAAACCAACTTTTTGCTCTTTGCTTCAGTTTTGTTCCTCTGTGTGTGGTTTTATTCGTATTCTGGGATGATCTTTCCAAATGTGTAAGCAATCACTGCACAACAGTAACACCAAAGCCTTTGGAGATTGATCCTAGGCTTCAGCAGTATAACTTTGGAGAGAAGCTGTACTGTCCTTGGTATGTTGTGATGCACCGTTGGCACAACAAACTGTCAGAATTCACCCCAGGAGGAGGTAGACACTTCAGTTAACCAGTATCTAGAGGTAAGTGATGAAGTGCCCAGATAATTTGGACTGTCAGATAGAGTATAGTCAATTTGTTTCTGACCCTGGTTCCCCAGCACTGAGGTGTGGAGGGACTAGTGGCCATGTTACTTGGGATTAGCTCTCCTTTGTCACGGACCAGCTGTGTCTGTGCAAAGCCCTTAGTCTAGCCCTGAGCTACCTATATCAATGTGGGGTTTGGTTTTTTTTTTCTTCCCCTTAGAAAAGGATGTGTTCCATGTTTTGAAGCCCACTCTAGGAGCATATAGCGTAGGCCTGGAATCACTCTTGGATTTCTCTTGTTTGTGCAGGCACCGTGTGCATTTTCTCTGTGTCATTGCAATATAGAACAGTTTTGTCTAATTACTGCCTCCATTTGAACCTTTTGCAATAGCAAGTTATCCCCACAGCAGAGTTTTGTGTTACAAAAGTCATTTGACTCACACGGAAAGAGCCCAGAGTGCATGCGGTGATGTGCGGTCCTTGGCAATGCAGAACCACTTGGGGCACCTGGGGCTGAGGGGCAAAGGTTTTTTTGGCAGTGTAGACAGAACCACTGAAAACAAAATCTGGTTTCTTCAGTCTCGACTTGTAAATGTTCTGGTTGCTTTAGAAGGCTTATAGGTTGCACATCTGCAACTGAAGTGTTTTGTTGTTGTTAAAATACTGTTACAATGTTTTACTAGTAAGTTTCTGTTCGGTGTGTGGAATTTCCACTCTGGGCTTGTTCTTGGCTTTGGGCAAAGCTCCCTGATCCTGCTCTGTGTTGCTCTGGCTTCTGCTGCAGGTCAGTTCAGGTGTAATACCAACCGGTCACTGCAAGATGATTGCACATCAAACAGTCCCTCGGGAATGGCCATATCTATGTTAGCGTTACAGAAGTGGATTAGGGTAGGAACTGCTGTTATCACCAAGGCATTCTGCCTGTTGGGAGCCAGTTCTGCTGACTCTAGGAAATGGGCTCAAAGCAACACTTGCAGGCTTTGGAGTTGTGGTTAGTTAGCATGCAGGTTTTCTGTTTTCCATCTAACAATCAGATTTCAATTGCAGAATGAGAAAGAAAGCTTCAAGGCTAAAATAGTAGCCCACAGTTTCTGCTGCCCGTGCTAAGCTGCTGTGTGGTGCCAGTACTCTAAACTCTTGCAAAGTAATGGGTGGCAGTGGGGGGAGAAACAGAACAAATTGTGACACTGGGATCAGCACCTTGATAACTTTTAATTGTCCCTTCTGTAGATGAAATCTTAATCATGGAATTGTTTATATTGGAAAAGACTTTAAGGCCGTCAGTTCCAACCGTTAACCCAGCACTGCCAAGACCACCACTACACCATGTCCCTGAGCACCACATCCACACGTCTCTTAAATCCCTCCAGGGATGGTGACTCCACCACCTCCCTGGCCAGTCTGTTCCAGTCAATGCCTGACAGCCTTTTCCATGAAGAAATTTTCCCTGATATCCAATATGAACCTCCCCTGGCACAGCTTGAGGCCGCTTCCTCTTGTCCCATCACTTGTCACTTCTGAGAAGAGACTGACCACCACCTCTCTGCACCCTCCTTTCAGGTAGTTGTAGAGACCCATGTCTCCCCTGAGCCTCCTCCTCTCCAGGCTGAACACCCCTAGCTCCCTCTTGGGAAATAATAATCCCTAATAATCTTTCTTACATGCAAGTCTGGGTAAGGAGTGAATTAATACAGACAAGGATAGTAAATGATTGTTTTGAATACCCAAATCTCCACCCACTGCCAGTGGAGCTAAACCAGGATATATTTCTTCCTTTAGCTTGGTGGGGTAAGATACTTAAATTACTTGCAGATTGTCACAGACAAAAAATAAACGGTGAAACAGTAAATGCCTCGACTTTCCTACCAGCGTTGCAACCCACACAGCGCACGCAGGTCCCTTATTCAGGGGTTCCATGTGGGCCGTGCTGCCTACTGTGGGGGCAGGCCCGCAAGCCAGCGGCCTACGCTGGCTCACTTTGCCTGAGCAATGTTTTTCAGTGGTTAGTTGAATACTCAAAGGAGGTCATTTGTTATGAGAATATCAGCTTCTATTAATATCCTCTGATGACCAAAGATTACTGGGGAGATACTTTTTTTCATTGATGACAAAGTAATTCTGTAAATGACTGAGACCCCTGAGCTGTGTTCCACCAGGGTGGTTTTAATAAAACGGGTTTGGCTGGGTTATATTGCCTGACTTAATCCTAGTCATAACGCTACTGCCTGTCATGTGGCACCGTGCTATCTAGGTGACTTGTTAAAGTTTGCGTGCCTCAGAGGACATCTGCTCCGCACATTGTAGCAGGGTGCCTATGACTTTCCCTGTGGAAAATGGGTCTGGAAGGATAGTTCTCTATTCATGTGGTTAGGTTGCTTCTGATATCCCAGCTTACAGACTTAATTAGCTCTGTTGCATCTTAATTAAAATTGAACCCAGACAGAAGTGGCTTTGTGAGGCTAGCTACAGCCAGGACTAAAATAAACTCATTGCATGGCATAAATGTGTGTGGATTTCAGGCATTAATTGTTTCGGGCAGGAGAGGCCAAGCTAAGGGGAAGGGGATACATTGGAGTCAGGTTGTGGATTGTTTTGGGGCGTGGGGTAGTGTGAATAAATAGCATTAGCTATTTTCCGGTTTCAGATCCCATTTATTTATTGAGTGAGGAGGGTGTCTTTGGCTCTTGCCCTGACTTATAGTCTAAGTGCATCCACTTGAACTTGGATCACCTTTGGGTACCCATAAAGATGTTTTGTTGAGAGCTTTTATTTGGTTGCTGGTTGTGTGCATAGAAATCAGTTGTCCAGTTCCTGAGCTGAGCTTGTGCTTCCAAACCTGCTCACTGTGCCTTGAACACTGCAAAGAGCTATGCAGGGAAATAGGTACTTCTCTTGACACTACACTTTTTGGCTTTTTCAAGCAGAAAGTGACCCAGCCAATCTGCTGTTTTAATAGTGCAATTTTCTATCAAATGACAAGAAACTTGTGGGGATGAACTTAAAACAGCAAGTAGGGTTGGGTTGTCTTGATATCGTTGTGGTAAAAATAATGAGGAGGATGATCTGAGATGAATATCTGCCTGCTTGAAGGACTCTTATACGTTACTTCCGACAGTGACTTTGTACAAACATGTAGGGAGAAAACCTGCCTGCCTCAGGACACGATACAGGGAGTTGGCAGAGAGATGGAGGCGTGCACGGGCAAAGGGCCATTTCCAGGGTGGTTCAGTCAGCCGGTGCTTAGGACACTGGTTTTGCACTTCAGGTTTTCTGTCACTTGGAAAGGTGTCTTGGACGTAACCTTGCTACTGTTGATCTGGCAGAGGAGGTATTTTTGTTGGCTGGAACTGGTGGATGTCACCACAATTTAGGGTAGCTACAAAGAAACAGACTTCTCTAAGAAATGATAGCAATCTCCAAACCAC